ATAACAGGCTTGAGCCATGGTACCTGGCACCCTGCCTGACTGCACGTAAATCTTTTCCACTATGCAGATGTCTAAAAATGGTTCATGGTAACTAAGTCAATTTCATATACACTAAGAGGCTTCAATAAAGGAAGGAAGACTTGTTTCTATTCACCAAGGATCTGTCAAAACAGTAATTACTAATGCTAATTACAGAGTGGGTCCTGAGTCAAATCTGTGAGGCCTGGATTTAAAGCTCTACACTGTACTGTAGAAAACAGAATCTTTAGCTGGTGGCTCACGCCTGTACTCCTAGCTACTCAGGAGGCTGAGATCTGAGGATCGAGGTTCAAAGCCAGCCTGGGCAGAAAAGTCCATGAGACACTTATTTCTAATAAACCACCAGAAAACCAGAAGTGACGCTGTGGCTCAAGCAGTAGAACGCTCTCGCCTTGAGCTGAAGAGCGCAGAGACAGTGCCCAAGCCTAGAGTTCAAGCCCCATGACTAACAAAAAACAAAAACAAAAAACAGTATCTTTGTCCCTCATTCTTCATTTGAAAAATTAGCATCACACATTTACTTCTCTCACAGGATAGGCTCTGAAAAGAAATGAAACAACACACACGTTTGACACATAGTAAGTGAAGGCTCTTAAAGATCTGGTCCAAATATTTTCTTTGACAAACGAGTTAAGTGAAGCGTAGCAGGCAGGCAAGCAAACTATCCTCGGTTATATACCGTTAGCCTATGACAGAGCACCCGCCTATTTATAAATGCTGGCTGTTTTTCACCACTTCCTGCCACACTGTTATAAATGTATCTGGTTGTACTAGGAGGAGAAAACTGAGTGTTTGTCCCTAAGTATACATGTCTCATGTTGCTTATGAAACCTTCAAGGGAAGATAATGATGTGGTGAGATTCATGGCACCAGGCAAACCAGCCACACAGTAGCAATGAAGAAATACTGGGTTCAACACCAGTGTGATCCTTTGCTTTTTTTGCATGAATCTCTTCCATTACCCTTGTCGCTGTGAATGACATGGAAGCAAATATACACCACAGACACCACATTCCATTTCGGCTGGCCCTCAAGCTCCAGATTCAACCCAATTCCATCTGCTCAGTGATGAACAGAAGGCCAGCTTGTGGCTTCTGCCAAGGGGCCCAGCATGCACAGGCTGCAGAGTCATGGGATTTGACTAACCTGAGGGTAGAAGGCGGACGATGCTGTGCGTGGGCTGCGGACAAACTCCATAAAGAAGGCCCCATCCTGAAGTCAGAGGAGGAGGAAGTGACAATGGCAGCAGCAGCAACAGCAGCAGCAACAGCAGGCGCAAGGCAGTGAAGAAGTGGAGTACGTACAGTGGTTAACCATCAGGGGAAGGGCAGGGAGGGTGTGAAAAAAAATAGACAAACAAATGAATAAAAACAAGGAAGGAAGGAGAGAAACAAGAACATAAGAGGGATATCAAGAAAAGGAAGGAAAGAAAAAAGATAGAAGGAGAAGATGAGAAAGAGGAAGGGGAGGAAAAGAAAGAACAAGAGAGAGGGGAAGGAAGGAAGGAAGGAAAAGAAAGGGAAAGGAATGGAGGAAGAAGGAAGGAAAAGAGAAAAGAAGGAAGGAAGGAAGGAAGGGAGGAAGGAAAAAGTGAAAGAAAGGAAGGGAGGAAGGAAAGAAGGGAAAGAGAAAGGAAGGAAGAAAGAAAGGAGGGAAGGGAAGGAGAGAGGGAAGGAAGGAAGAACAAAGACAGGAAGAGAAAGAGAAGAAAGAAAAAGAAAAGGAAAGAAAGGAAGGAAGGGAGAGAGAAGGGAAGGAGGGAGGGAGGGACGATTTATCCAGAGATAAAATCCAAATGCGAAGCATGAGAAGGGACTCACACCTTCCCTGATAGAACATCCCACTTTGTGGGAGAAAGCACTTGGGTGAGAAGGTGTGTCCAAGCTCCCTCCATTCTGCCAAGAGTGTGGCTTGGATGCTTTTATCCTCTCGCATAGCTCTGAAATTCTTTCAGATCTATGGCAAGGAAGAGGGTAAGACTACAGAGCAGCTTGGCAGGAATGGCAGGATAAAGGTTGCAGTGGCAACATCCTGGCCTCCCGCCTGGCTGAGTATGCAGCAGCCCTCTGGGAAAGAAACACTGAGGCCTAAGGGTTCTTCTGCCTGTTACTGCAGCCAGCGGGGAGAAGAGGATTCAATGCAGCAAGAAGTCTCGCTTAATCTTCTGAGCACACAGAGGGTACAGAGGCAGGTTTACCTTCTCCTCTGCTTGTGTAACAAAATCACAAAGCCGAGACATGTAAAATGTTAAGGGCTCAAGCACTGATGTGAGGGGCTTCCTGAAATGACTTCCAGTCTACTCACTGGTGACGTCCATGTTAGAAACAGAAATGACACTGAGAACTTTTCCAAAGATCTCTCCCTTCAAAATCTTTTTTTTACTTGGTACGCTGAAATTCAGAGGTGGCACTTGTCCAAGGTCCCTGTCCTGCAACTTTTCTTTGGTTGGAAGTCTGAAACCTTCGAGGGCTTGTTTTGAATAACATTGCTGTCATTTCCCATCAGCCATTGCAAATGAAAGTAAGAAACTGTGGAGAGGCATGGTTGTGGGGATGCAGATGCAGGTGCTCCTCCTCCATCCATTAACAGGAAGTGTTGGCTGCAGACAGGGCAAGGGATTTCTGAGCAAGCCAGTAGGGCATCTCATAGAACTTTAGCTTCTGCCTCCCTGAACATCTAGTCCTATGTATAGGTTTCAGGGCTCAATTGGAGTATCAGGAGAATGTTCTCTAACCTAATATTTGGTATCCAGTACATTGCAAACTCTCTATAATTCTTCTACTTTGCTGTCTATCTTGGTATTATGTCTAGTCCTAAGAGATGACCATGAGCAGAGGTTTAAAAAAAAAAAAAAACTTGTGGACAGCACACACAGATTCATTGATTACTTTGATTCCTGTCCCTTCCATGCCAGAACATGAAACAACAGAAGAGCTGATGGTGCTGAGAGTTATGTACATATGAATGAGGTAAAGTGAAAAAAATACAACATTATCTGCACACAGACTTTTGCTTTAATGACACTCCCTAGAGAAGGGACCAACAAACTACAACTTGCAGGCCAGGTCTGGCCAGTATTTGTTTTTTACAGCCTGTGAGCAAAGAATAGATGTCTAGAACCTATACAACAAATTCATTTTTGCCTCTTTGCCTACAAAGCCTGAAATACTCACTCAAGTTTGCTGACCTCTGTTCTACAGACTCTTTAAGACCACCTGAAACCTCCATTTAATAATTTTCTTCAGATTTTTCACCCCTCCAACTAGTCATGTGATTCTAGCAATTTATGCTAAAACTAAGGAAATGATCAGATACAATCAAGTAATTATTATAAAGCAGCTCATTCCTTATAATTACAAACTATCCCTTATATTACAAGTAGTGTTAAGTAATACACTGTAGATTATACTTTACAGAGTTGCCGAATTAGCTTTAAAATGAGAAACTATCAACATTTTTAACAAAAAAAGTTCTAAATGAAAGTATTATTCATATTATGAAACAGTTTTATTTTCTTTTGGTGGTGCTTGTGATTGAATGTAGGGCCTTGAACATGATAAATGAGCATTCTACCACTGACTTACACACTCAGCCCACAACTATTTTTAAAAACCTACTTTTAAAACTAATTTTGGAGGCTATAGATTTTAGCTCAGTAATAAGAGTGCTTGCCTAGCTTGTGCCAGGCCCTGGGTTTAATCACTAACACTGAAAAAGATAAATCGTACTTTTGAAAAATATTTAATGTGGTGGGAAACTTTTATGACATATGAATAAAATAAATACAAGGATGGATACATCATTTGACTGCAATTTTAAATATAAAATACATGCACTAAATCTCTTTCATCTCCCAGAAGTAGGGACCAGATCAGCGAATGCACAGTTAGCACACCCTACCCTCTCACACAGCACAATGATCTGAGTCTGGATTTCTCAGCAGATAGAACTGAAAGAGACAAGACTATTGGTCTTATAAGACACCAAAAAACTGCCCAACAGTTTTTTGCCACTGTACTGGCTTGGCCATTATAGAGGCCTAAAGTCTCAGAGGTTTTTTTTTTTTTTTTCACCTTGCCTTTCAATAATGCTTACAGTTTGACTATATTCTTCCATCTAAGAAAACTGATAGTGTAGGTGGGACGGGAGGGAAAAAGTAGGAGAGAGTGAAGGGGTGACATTGTTCAAAAAGAAAGGTATTACCTGACTTATATAACTGTAACCCCTCTGTACATCACTTTTTTTTTTTTGTCGGTCGTGGGGCTTGAACTCTGGGCCTGGGCGCTGTCCCTCAGCTCTTCAGCTCAAGGCTTGAACTCTGGGCCTGGGCGCTGTTCCTCAGCTCTTCAGCTCAAGGCGAGCGCTCTACCACTTGAGCTACAGTGCCACTTCCGGTTTTCTGGTGGTTTATTGGAGATAGGAGTCTCACTGTCTCTCCTGCACAGGCTGGCTTTGAACCGCGATCCTCAGATCTCAGCCTCCTGAGTAGCTAGGATTACAGGCGTGAGCCACCAGCGCCCGGCATTGTACATCACTTTTATAATAACAATTTTCTTAAAAAAAAGAAAACTGATAGGAATTCTACTATCAAAGAAGAGTAAACTCTTGTGTAAGGTGCCTCAGTATCTTCCTACTCCCCTCTAGGAAAGGAAATAATGACATTGAAGAAAAACCAGATGGTCAGTTTCCAAGTGCAAGGGAGGTCTCAGGTCTGAACCAACAGAGTTTAGCTCAACTGCTCTATATCTGTACTTAATTAGAAGTTAGCTATGAACTACTATAAACAAGAAAGTTCCTCAATAAAGGCAGAGACAGAACCTTAAAAGGGTCTGTGTTAAAATACATCCAAAGCTTTGGAACAATCAATCCTGGATTTGGATGGCAATCCATTCTACCTCTGCATTGGGTCCCTGAGATCACATGACAATCCTCCCCATCTCCCATAAAGTGACTGCCTTTACCTTTCGTGGGCTGTCCACGTAGGTGGGAGTCATGGCAACGCTGCTGTTCTCCACTGGCTGGGTGGCACTCTTCCCACCATGAGCAGCTGCCTGCTGTTCTCCTAGGCACCTGAGGAAAGAAACACATAACTATAGCTTGTTGACAGACCCCTGGAAAAGGATCTACATTACTCAACATGGAGACAGCTCTACTGTCATCCTTGGCACCCACATTCTGCCTTGTTTCTCCTCCAGGCCCTATGTAATAACCTTCATTTCATTAAGCTATCCTCCACAATCAATCAGAAAACAACTCAATTTAGAAAGCATTGTAGGCTAGACGCAGTGGTATATTCCTGTAGTTTCAGCATCTCAGAAAGCTAAGGTAAGATGATTACTTGGGCCTAGGAGTATGAGGACAGCCTACCCATAGAGTGAGGCCCCATCTATCACAACCTGCTTTAAAAGGGCAAATGATATAGTCTGAATGACTCTATCCACAAATACCATTTGTTTAGTTCTATGGGAAGACCTTATCTCACTTTCTGTTAAATATATCAACAAAAGCACATTCTGAAAATCAGGGCTACATTAATATGCAGTATAAACTAAATGCATATGTTAACTATGTATTTTGAAAAGATTCATGTTCCTTCAAACATACGTAGTCACACCCCTTTCTTCTCTCAAACATACAAATCTAACAGATATTATGTCATAAAACTAGACAAAAATGTAGGGGACCGGTGGCTCACGCCTGTAATCCTAGCTACTCAGGAGGCTGAGATCTGAGGATCACGGTTCAAAGCCAGCCTGGGCAGGAAACTCTGTGAGACTCTTATCTCCAATAAACCATTAGAAAACTGGAAGTGGTACTGTGGCTCAAGCAGTAGAGTACTCACCTTGAGCTGAAGAGCGCAGGGAAAGCGCCCAGGCCCAGAGTTCAAGCCCCACAACCAACCAAAAAAAAAACCCTAGACAAATATAGTTTTCTTAGGAAATCTCACTCCATCTCAGTCCTGCTGTATGGAAATAATGTCATACTTTCATGTTCACTTTCCATTTTTTCATTCTAATATTATGAACTATTTTAATTTAAGTTAAATTGTTTTAATATATCACTGTATTCTTGTCTGGTAAGTTTCTGAAAGTTCATATGATAGTGTTAAAGTGCTTCATTATAATTGCAATATACAGAGCCCTCCCTCAGCACAGAAGACTGGTTCTAAGTTCGCTAGAAGCCTAGAACCTGGTTCTCTAGAACCAAAATCTAAGGATGCTCAATTTCCTTTTATACAACAGTCAAGTATTTATTTGTATAGAGTCTCCACATGTTCACTTTTGTTGTTGTTGTTGTTGTTGAACTCAGAGCATGGGCTCTGTCCTTGAGCCTCTCTGTGCTCAAGGCTAGCACTCTACCACTTGAGTCACAGTGCCACTTCTGCATTTTGAGTGGTTAATTGGAGATTAGAGTCTCAGAGACTTTTCTGCCCGGTCTGGCTTCAAACCGTGATCCTCGGATCTCAGCCTCCTGAGAAGTTAGAATTACAGGTGTGAGTCATTGGACCCAGCTCCACATGGTCTTCTGTACACTTTAAGCCATCTTCAGGTTACTTATAATACCTAAAACAATTTAAATGCTATGTAAATTGGTATACTGTATGGCTTAGGGAAAATTTTTTTAAAAGTCAATATATGATTAGTATAGACAACAACCTTTTTTTCATAATGTTTTGGATGAATTCACTAATGTAGCACCCACAGACATAGAGGACCAACTATACTTCTGCCGTAGACATTTGAGTTACTACCTAAACCCCCCATAGGGGACTTTATATTTTGGTAGCTGGGAACATTATAAAAGGAGCTCAGAGCCAGGTGTCAGCAGCTCATGCATGTAATACTAACTATTCATGAGGCTGACATCTGAGCATCAAGGTTCAAAGCCAGCCCGTAAAGGAAAGTCTATGAGATTCTTATCTCTAATTAATCACCAAAAAGCCAGATAAGGAGCTGTGACTCAATAGTAAAGCACTAGCTTAGAGCAAAAAAGCTCAGGAACAGCATCCAGGTAGTTCAAGCTCTAAGACACACACACACACACACACACCAGAGCCAGTCTGGATAGGCATGAACACCTCACCTGTCTGGCTGAACTTGGCTATCATCAAGTTATCCTTATCTACTAAAAGCAGAGACAACCACTTGCCAACACCTGCTGTCCAGGCTATTCTCACTGCTGTTAACCAGCAAAGAGCTAAGACTTAAAGACTGTCTTCTACCAGAGTTTGACCAAACACCTGTGCCTATAGTTAAAACCGGAAAGAACCATAAACAGAGTTAGGGTAAAATGACGAGGCTAGAAATACACTTTTTTTTGTGTGCTAGTACTGGGGCAGGAACATAGGACCTGATCTGTCCTTTAGTTTCTTGCTCAAAGTTGGTACTCTACCACTTAAATATACTCCCACTTCCAGCTTTATTGGTGGTTAACTGGAGATAAGAGTCTCTTGGGTGTTTGCCCAGATTGGCTCTGAACAATCTTGGTTTTCTAAGCAGCTATGAGTACAGGCTACCAGCATCTGGCTGAGAAACAGATGTTTTTCCCCCTTTTTTTATTTGTATAATTTTTAAATAGTTGCACAAAGGAGTTGCCATGCAACAAAGCAGTTTATAAATATAATGCATCGGGTTGGGAAGGTGGCTCAGTGGTAGAGCGCTTGCCTTGCATGCATGAGGCCTTGGGTTTGATTCCTCAGCACCACATAAGCAAAAAGAAAAAAAGCTGGAAGTGGCACTATGGCTCAAGTGGTAGAGTTGCTAGCCTTGAGCTGAAGAGCTGAGGGACAGCACCCAGGCCCAGAGTTCAGGCTCCACTACCGGACCTCCCCTCCCCCCCAAAAAATACAACGCATCAAGCCGAGCACCAATGGCTCACGCCGTAATTCTAACTACTCAGGAGGCTGAGGATCACAGTTCAAAGCCAGCCTGAGCAGGAAACTCCGTGAGACTCTTTTATCTCCAATAAAACACCTGAAAATCAGAAGTGGTACTGTGGCTCAAGTGGTAGAGTGCTTCCTTGAGCTGAAGAACTGAGAGACAGTGCCCAGACCCAGAGTTCAAGCCCCATGACCAACAACAAAAAATAAATAAAATAAATACAGTGCACCTTGATCAATGTCACCCCTTTCAACATTCTCATCCATCCCCGAGATACAATCTTCAAAGCTCTCTTTGGTGATGCCATAACATTGTTTTTCATTATAAATACAACTGAACATACTTGAAATAGTAGAAGAAAAAGAAAAGCACATAAATTTTTTAAAATGCTATGTGAACAAGCCTTACAAAAAAAAAAAATCTGGCTCCCTTTATTCTACCTCCAGCTTTGTGAAAACCTAGCACATCACCCAGGAGCAGTAATCTTGGGTAAGGAAGAAGTCTCAGATCTCTATCCTGCCTCCTGAGGTGGAGTTGGCTGAGAGTATCACCCTCAGAGGGGATGCTGCTCCCTCAGATGGCCTTCTTCAGCCACTGTGAGCAGAAAGAGCCTCCTAGGTACTTACTGAGATGATGATACACTGGCAAATTAAAATAAGATCCCTTCACTCTCTCCACCACCAGCTTCACACCCCTTCCAGTGACATATGTTCCTCCTTCTCTTTTCCAGTGGGAAAAGTCTAAGATGAGATGTAGGGAGAGCCTGCCAGGCAGAGTGCTGGGGTCTTTCCTGAGTCTGATAAAGATATTTTTGGAAAAGAACTTAGTGTTTTCTGTCTTATATAAGCCCCTCCTGCTCTTGCTGCTTCTTTCCCTCTCTTGGGCTGTCCTCTGGGCCCCGGCTGCACTTTTCACCTCTATCCATGCCCCTTCCTTTCCAGGTAGGTCATAATCATCTTCTCCCTCCTCGCACTCTCCTACCAAGCCTTCCTATACATGGGGCTCATCTCTGAAGAAAATATTACCAAAGACACCAACTGTATATTTCATGATATCAAGATTTGTAATTTCTTTCCTTTTTTAGTCAGTTATGGGGCTTGAACTTGGAGCCCAGGCATTGTCCCTGAGCCTCTTTGTGCTCAAGGCTAATATTCTACTACTTTGGGCCACAGTATCACTTCCAGTTTTCTGGTGTTTAATTGGAGTCTCAAGTACTTTCCTGCCTGGATTGGCTTTGAACTATGGCCCTCAGATCTCAGCTTCCTGAGTAGCTAGGATTACAGACATGAGCCACCACCAGCATCCAGCTTGGATTTATAAATTTTTGGAAACTTATAATATTCTCATTTGGGTTTTTTAAAAAGAAGATTTTTTAAGGCATTCTTTCTATAATATTACAAATGAAAGAATATGATGTTTGGGGTTTGAGGGGGGAAAATTAAAGGAAAAATGAACTCAGGGGAAATATAAATGAAACAAGACTGGCATGAGTTGATGATCACTGAAGCCAGGTGACAGGTAGAGAGGGATTTTTTTTTTTTGGGTCCGGTCATGGGGCCTGAACTCTGGGCCTGGGCGCTGTCCCTCAGCTCTTCAGCTCAAGGCTAGTGCTCTACCACTTGAGCCACAGCGCCACTTCCGGCTTTTTTCTTTTTGCTTATGTGGTACTGAGGAATTGAACCCAGGGCCTCATGCATGCAAGGCACACACTCTACCACTAAGCCACCTTCAAGCCCCAAGAGGGATTTCTTATACTGGTCTGTCTACTTTGTGGCATCTGTTTGAAATTTTCCATTAAAACAACAATAAACCTCCTATATGAGTGTGAAAGGACAGCTTCTTATAGTCTTTCCAACTACACTTCCCACTATAGCTCATGCTCTCACTCCTTGGATCCATGTTCTCTCTGAAAGTCTAACAAGGTTCCTACTATGTACAACCCAGACCTTCAGACCAGAGAGACAGGTTTCTACTTTCCCCTAATGTACATTTCATTCATCTATAGAGACCTCCAGCATCCTCACCTCTGCCATTCCACAAATATCCACTGTGCATCTACCTCTGTCAGGCACCCTTACAGCCTCAGGGTATATAGACAGGTCAGAGGGAAGATGAGTAAACCCACAACTGAGGCCATACTGAAGGGGACTGATTCTAGTGGATGAGGGATGAGATAAGCAGGTTCCACCTGTGTATAACAACTTGTCTCTTCTCTAAGTCCTACTTCCCACTCTGGCCCTTTGTAAATGCTTCACTTCAAGGTCAACTTCAATCCTACTTCACGGGAGGCTCTCCCTGCCCCACCCCCAAGCAAGATGTAGTACCACAGCTGTCCAGGCAACTGTAGCAGTTACTGTTTATAAAGGAGCCACATACCCTAATGCTTAGGGGGAAAAAACAAAAACAACAGCCAAACGTCATGACTGAGGGCACAAGACAAATCTCAGATCACAGAGAGAACCAAAGGTATATGCCTCTTCTAAAGTTTAGCCTATCACCTCTACTCTTCATGGCTGAGTACAAACGTGAACTGAGTTTCTTGCTATTTAAAGCCAACCTAGGTTTTATATGCTATTATTCTGTCTATTATACTGTCTATGATTCTATAATAGAATCATGTATGTTATATATGTTTTTCACACATAAAAATCCAGGTAGTTGGGCTGGGAAGTGGCTCAGTGGTAGAGTGCTTGCCTTGCATGCATAAGGCCCTGGGTTCCATTCCTCAGCATCACATAAACAGAAAAAGCCAGAAGTGGCTTTTTCCACTCAAGTGGTGGAGTGTTAGTTAGCCTTGAACAGAAGAGCTAAGGGACAATGCCCAGGACCCATAATGCACAGGGAAAAAAAAAACCCAAAAAACTCAGGGACAGTGCCCAGGTCTGAGTTCAAGCCCCAGAATCAGCATGTATGCACACACGCATGCACATGCCCATGCACATACACAAAAGAGTGGGTAGAGTGATGGAGGGGATGAGGTTGATGGCAGTACATTGTTTACATGTGTTGAAATGTCATAATAAAATTCCCTTTGTAGGGCTGGGAAGATGGCTCAGTGGTAGAGTGCATACATGAGGCCCTAGGTTCAATTCCTCAGCACCACATAAGCAGAAAAAGCTGCAAGTGGCATTGTGGCTTAAGTGGTAGAGTGTTACCCTTGAGCTGAAGAGCTGAGGGACAGCCTTCAGGCCCAGAGTTCAGGCCCACGACCGG